CAAGGCTGTATTGCTGAAACGTTTGAGCAGGCCGGTGATTTGAACTGATAAAAGGATTGCGCCTCACTGCTTGAAACAATTGTAAACGGATATCGATGTTACTGCTAAAGAGTTGTGGATTGAAAGTGAACTAAATTAACTGCTTGAAACCTACCAAGCAATCGTGAGTTTATAACAATTGCTCAAATAATTTTAAGTTACCATCCATTGTTCATGAAAGACGTGGTAAGAAAACCACGGAGGTGAAAAAGAGGTAAGGGGTAAAAATGCTACAGGGATTACCACCATGAGTAGGTGCAAAATCCAAATGGCGCCCAATTTCCAAATACTAAACTCAAGAATCAAATAAATGTGGTTGTTCCCTTGTCTTTTTCAATTATTTTGTAATACCTCAAACCCCAGCAACTCATTGATCTACCTTGAACAGAATTACAGGAATGTTTCTTAAAATTAAATTTTTGTTACTACGTAAGTAAACAATGCCTATTACACCGACATCCTTTTTTACCTTTGAACAACCATAAGTAAGATCAAAAACTACAAAGATGGAACCAGTCATCAGAAATCACCTCAAAGTTTCAAGTACTGTTGGTAAAAACCTTATGTTAATTAAATGGTCATAGACGCTTCCAGTGAAAGATGTGATGCAAAGTAAATCTACTTAGTATTTAGAATAGACCAAAAAGTTTTTTTTTTCTTTTTTTTTCTTTCCTTGTTCTTTTTCTTCTTTTTCTTCCGTGAGGCAATCTGTTTTCTACCCTGGAAGTTTAGATGAGGAAGAGGATATTAACAGGTGTTGCCTTCAACATTTAGGAATGATCAAAGTGCTTCTTTATGTTTTTCGGATTATGTCCAAAATTTAGTCTGGTGCCTCGAAATCGACTGATCACCGTAAATAATGCAATCAGACTGAATCATCAAACTCACCAGTGCCAACTTTGGTGGGATGTCACACCGTAATTAAGGCAGGGCAACTTGGCGCCAAAGGGCAGGGAAGCCGTTGTCGGCACTGCGACCCTTCCTGTAACTTTTACCCTTGCTTTTTCGCCCATGACTTCTCGAGCCAGGCCCTCTGCTACCACGACTATGGCTATGGCTGCCCCTACTGCTACTGCTCCCACTGCTGCTGCTCCCACTGCTGCTTCTGTTAGGCTTCCATGGCTTGGGAGGCTCAGGCTTCGGTGGTTTGGGTTTCCATGGTTTGGGTGGCTTTGGTTTATTACCACCACCACCTCCACCTCCCCCACCACCTCCTCCCCCTCCTCC